ATATAAGACAAATATAAGACTTACCTCCCCATCCAAATAGCCACTGTCTTCAACCCCTAATAGCACACCCCACCAAGACCGATCAAGCAACAAAAACATTTCATCGTTGAGTTTGCTGATGTCAGTGTAACACCCTTGGCTCCGCTCATGTAGATAAAAATCAACTGCGGTCTTAGCCCAAAGGGTATTATCCACAATTGTTTCCGGTAGTTGTCTCCTCTCCACTTCAGATACCGGAAGGGTACTAGCCGGTAACTCATACGAGAGCCAACTCTCATCCATCATGTCTGGAACCGGTGGGGGTTTCTCAATACTTCGATATATTACCCCATGTGAATCGGGCTCTGGAATGGTGGGAGGGACCTCTTCAACGATGACAGTGGCCTCTTGAACGGTGGGGGGAATCTTGAGGGAGAATAGGGGCCTCTTGAACGATTGGAGGGGACTCTTGAGGGATGACCGGTGAGTCGGGCTTCTTCTTACGGAGTCTTCGCACCATTGGGGTGAACGGAGACGTAATAGCACGTCCACGCCGTCTGATGCGTGAACTCCGTCGTGCAAGGAAAACCCGACGTAAAGCATCCACCTTATCGGGCCGCTAAAAAAAATTAATACATAAATCAGTAAATAAACAGACATGATATTAAACAAAGACAAATATGTTTCAAACTAGCATTGTATTCACCCAAATCATTATTCTATCATAGTTCACAAAATGCTCAGATAACATTCCAGAAGTAAGCACTTATATAAACATTTAAAAGGACAACATATATAAACATTCCAGAAGAAGAATAATTTACTTTCGCAACACGAAACTTAAAATCGCAACGCGAAATGACTATCGCAACGCGGAAATGGCTATCGCAATGCGAAATGAAAATCGCAACGACAAAATCGCAACGCGAAATGAAATCGCAACGACAAAATCGCAACGCGAAACACAAATCGCATTGCGATTTTCATTTCGCGTTGCGATTTTGTCGTTGCGATTTCATTTCGCGTTGCGATTTTGTCGTTGCGATTTTCATTTCGCATTGCGATAGCCATTTCCGCGTTGCGATAGTCATTTTCGTGTTGCGAAAGTAAACTATTCTTCTTCTGCAAATTGAAACTTGAATGGATTGCATTACTTCAACCAAAAGACAAAAACAAAACCAAAAACAAATACTAACAAAAACAGTTTAGCAGTATTGGCAGCAACCGAATGAATTACGAGTATGAAAATCTTAAACTTACCTCGTTGCGTAGAGTATGAACCTCATTCTGCAACGATGCTACCATCTCACGTAGAGCGGCTACCTCACCGCGTAATGTAGACACCTCAACACGCCATGCACCATCGTCTTTGCGTAAAGTACCGACCTCCTCACGCAAAGCATTGACCTCATCACGTAACTCCCCTAACTCATCCCGTTGAGGTAGAGGTGGAGAACAGGGAGATAAACGTCGTGGCATCTTTGCCGGTCGCCTATCTTGCGGTGATGGTGGAGAAGAGGCTCGATGATGTGACAGAATAGGTGATGGCTGTCGTTGTGGAGGTGTATAGCCGGGTCGATCAGATGATGGCTCTGGGTGAGGTGATAGCTCTGGGCGAGGTGATGGCTCCCGAAGTGGAGGATGCTCATCAACCGTTCCATCAAAAAAACGCTTACTAGCTTGCCACCAATCAGTGGCAAGCTCAGCTTCCGTGGGTGTCAGCCTCTGTAGAGGAGTGTTGGCCTCCTAACAATATAAAAGCTCAAACAAAGTTAAATGTGTACTAGTAATAACTTGTTTATAAACATATGGTAGTATTTATGTTAACTTACATTATTTATTGTCGTATACTGTAGTAAATCTTCCCATTGCAAGGTCCGTTTCCTCTTCCAGGAAATAGCCCTGGGAATATCATTTGAAGTTTTTATTGCATATGTCTTCATGGCGGGAAAGGCCTCAAATATCCAAATCTACAAACAATATAATAACAAACATTAGTAATTGTTAAATAATTACTTATAATTTTGGAAACATCATATAAAAATTCTTACCTTAAAGGCCCAAATAAAGCCTGTCAAAGTGTATTTGGAACCATCGCCATGCAAACTTTTTCGATCATCCAAGGCAGACGATAACTTATTCCATGTAGCTTTCCATAAATACGAGCCCCACGGAAACAGGTTCCACGCATTTAGGTCTTCTACCAATTTGATTAGATCATTTGGAATAGGTTGTCTGGCCTCTCTGCCTAAAAAGCCGGCATGCAAAAGAATTAGAAGGCATACTCGGACAACGTCGACGTCATCCATCCGAGTAAAACCATCTTTATTATTCAACAATCTTGTCAGGTCTTCTACGTGTAGACTCGGCCTCTCCAGCTCAGGAAAAACCCGGGATAGCCATGATGGGCGGGTAATGTGTCTAGTGTACCGACCTACATCATCGTGTCCGAAGCGTAGACCGGTGATTAAGCAAAACTCCTCCCGCCCAAAACACGTATACGCCGGTGGAAAATCAAACCATATCTCTTCATCACGACCTTGTATAGTCTCTGGTAGATCGCTAGTCATGGTTTGAAGAAACAGGTGTGTCAACATCGCATCTCCACCGGGATGTTGTACTTTCAGCCATGGCCCGAAGCATGTATCCTCAAACATTTTTCTTTGTGCAGGTGAAAGCTTCGATGCAATTGTTTTGGCCAGACTGACTTTATTTCTCAAGGTCAATTGAGCCTAATAAAAGTTCTACAAAAACAATAAACATACTAAATTAGATATACCAAAAACTACACTGTGAAGATATACCAAAAACAATAATAAACATAAAGAGTAGTAGTTTATTCTTCAAACTTAAATTTGCAACACTGTGAATTTCGTATTTGTCTTTGTTTTTTGGTTGAAGTAATGCAATTCATTCAAGTTTCAATTTGCAGAAGAAGAATAGTTTCTGAAAAATGAAAATCGCAACACGAAAATGACTATCGCAACGCGAATTTGACTATCGCAACGAGATAATCGCAACGCGAAACTAAAATCGCGTTGCGATTTGCATTTCGCGTTGCGATTCTCGGTTGATTTAATAAGCAATCTAAGTGAAATGGTTAATCTATTATTGAAATTACCAGTAAACTTATCATCAATTTCAATATGAAAAACCTAATAATAATGCAAAAAATTCAAAAAGAAAATAATTAAAAAAACTAACCCTCGTTGGTTGATTTGGTTGATTTTCCATTTCTGATTGTGAGGGTGGCTCTGAGAGATGGAGATAGACGGATTTCGCCGGAGATGGGGACGGATTTCGTCGGAGATGGGTGAGAGAGTGAGAGATGGAGATGGGACTGAGTTGTGATTTTAGGTTTTAGGTTATGAGTTGCGATTACGGGATATACTGTGGACGGTTCAGTGTTCCAATATATTAATATTCGTGTTTGGAATTTAAAAATAAAATACTTGGCCAGGATACTAATGGCGCTTTGAAAATCGCATTGCGATTATGTATTATCGCGTTGCGAAAGTCAGAATCGCGTTGCGAAAGTCAGTATCGCGTTGCGAAAGTAAGTATCTCGTTGCGATTTTGTATTATCGCATTGCGATAGTCAGTATCGCATTGCAATTTTCCCAATTCGCGTTGCGATTTACTTATTCGCATTACGATTTTCCCAATTCGCGTTGCGATTTACTTATTTGCATTGCGAATTGGGAAAATCGCAACGACACTGTAGACCATCGCAACGCGATTTTCAACTATCGCATTGCGAAAATGCAACGCAAATTTGCGATAATGGAGATCGCGTTGCAAATTAGCGATCGCATTGCGATTTTGTTGGTCATTTTGGCAAATCCGGAAAAAGTTGGTTAAAATCGTATATTATATGAGATTTTTGGTCACTGAGGTTATTTTCTCTTTAATAAATTAATATGAGAATATATTTAATAAATTAATATTTTTTAATAAGATAATATCACATGTATCGCCTTTATTAATAAATCAAAATTAAGTCAAATATTACGCCAATAGGGATCACCCTAAGTCAAATGATGTGAAAATTCAAAATTGAGAAAAAAGAATTTATATTAGTATCACTCTTAGATTTTTTAATAATCAGAGATTAAAATTGGTATAATTATAAATTTGGTCTCTATTCATACACATTTTATCGACTTGTCTTAATTTTAGTTTAATTTAATTCTCTAATCAGATGGTGACACGTGTTATCATCTGATTAGTGAAAATAAATGAAAGAAGAATGAGGGCAATCAAATTGGGAATTCAAGGAGATTCGACACGCCTTGAGTCATGTAGAGAATTGAACCTAGGTCAATTGGGGAATATAAAAGCACCTAAATCATTAAAATAAAGATAGTTGATTTATAATTGAATACATTTTATTTATCTTTTAAACATTAGCTAATGCACAATTTAAAATAAAAATTTGTGATTTTTATATTTTTAAGCTAAATTTATTATTATATATATATATATATATTCATTGAGTTTTTAAACTTAATTATACTAATAACATATGACTTAATTGATATTATTTAGATAATAAAATGATTTGATTGTTAAAACTAATAGATCAATGATGAAATTAGAACCTCTCTTTTATTTGAGTAGTGATCATTCACATGAACCAAACGATCTTAGTGATAAAGAAATTGTTATTATTTCTTGAAGTCCCGAGTTTGAGCACCAGAAAATGCTAAGAGTATGAGCGTTCAATATCAAATGGTTGAGAATTGTCTTTAAACATATATTATCTTATACTTAACTTAGATTAATAAAAAAAGTAGCGAAATAGTTGGCGACCAAAATAAGAAAGTAATAATAATTGTGTGACTACTTTGGTATTTTACCATTTCTTCAACTTTCAACTATTCGAAACCTTTTCTTTCGCTTCAAACAAACCCCAATTTTGTTCTCATTCTCTTGAAATATTAAATTAAAAAAGCTTTCTTTGATCAAGTTTCATCATTCCCATGATCCTCGTCTCTCTCATCTTTGCACACATCCAAGTTCATCAAAGGCTTCAAACTTTGTTATTCGTTTAATGATCAGCTAAAAACCCACTGATTATCCTACAATAAAGATTGATTTGATCCAAATAATCCACCCCAAAAAAAATGGGTTTTTGTTTCTCTTCAAGACCCTTCTTCTTCCTTCTCATTTCATCCCTTGTTTTGTTTCCAAATCTCGAGCTTTCTCCAATGGCGGAATCTGGTTCAGAGATAACAACTCTGGTCTACAAAGGATGTGCAAAGCAGGCATTCACGGATCCAGCCGGGCTATATTCCCAGGCTCTTTCGGCTATGTTTCAGACGTTGGTTTCACAGTCCATGAAGCTTAAGTTCTACAAGACAACGACAGGGACAGCTCAAACCACCATTAATGGTCTGTTCCAGTGTAGGGGAGACCTGAGCAGCAACGAATGCTACAGCTGTGTCAGTCGGCTCTCGAGTTTATCCGACAAACTCTGTGGCAGCAGAACCATTGGTTCAAGGATCCAACTTCATGGCTGCTACATGTTGTACGAGGTTGCTGGCTTTGCGCAGATTTCAGGCATGCAAATGCTGTTCAAAACTTGTGGTGCCGGTGGTGCCGCCGCTAACGGCGGTGGAAATGGATTTGAAGAGAAAAGGGACACTGCATTTTCGTTCCTGGAAAATGGGGTTGTCACCAACCATGGATTCTTCGCCATGAATTACCAATCCGTTTATGTTTTGGGGCAGTGCGAAGGTGATGTTGGTGATTCAGATTGTGGTAATTGCATTAAGAGTGCAGTCCAAAGGGCTAAAATCGAATGCGTCACATCGAAGTCGGGTCAAATTTATCTGCATAAGTGCTTCATTACCTATGCTTATTATGCCAATGGTTTGCCTAAAAGATTACCTTCGTCTTCGTTTTCATCTTCTTCGTCAGGTAACTAGAAAATTTGGTGAAATTTTGACGTGTTCTTCTACACATGGTTTTCATTCAACTTTCTGGGAAAATTGCAGGCCAAAACTCTGGGAAAACAGTGGCTATAATCTTGGGGGGAGGAGTTGGAATTGGATTTGCTGTTATTTTGTTGATGTTTGCCAGAAATTCTATGAAGAAACGTGTTGGTAAATCCCATTTCATATGAGCAAAAATCTCCATTAATGCATCATGTTGCTGAATTTTGTTTTCTTGTTGCAGATTTTTGAAGGAGGAAGCCATGAAAATTCACGTTTTGTCTTGTTGAATTCATGTATGAAAGAGATTGAGATTTTGGATTATAACAATTTGTATATACTTATCATAATGTAATACTATTTCTTAAAACGTTTGTAAAATAGTTGTTAAATTTATTAAACTTATAGTGATCATTTTATAATAATTTTATAAATTTAAGGATCAAAATGATCATGCATTTTCATCCATATCTCTTTCTTTCTTTTCAAGGTATTATTGAATCTCTTTCTCTCCTCTTTTTCACTTTTGGTCACTTTTCTCCTTTGAGTTAAACCCAAGTTAAGGACCAAAATAGAATACATCAAATAATCCACTTATCCATATATTTATAATATGTATATTATATTTATAATAATTGTTGTTCTTAGAGTATATTTAGAATATATTACTTGTTAATCACCTTAGTTTAATCAAAATAAATATTTTGCAAGTGGTTATACTTTTGATAAATTTAAGATTTAATTTTAATTGTTATTTGGGTAAATTGCATGTTTAATATCTAAACTATCAGTTTTAGTCTGTCTTAGTATCTAAACTTTTAATTTGTTCAAAATCATACTTAACATTTAATTTTTGTTTTATTTTAGTAACTCGATGTTAAAAGCTTATCGAGATTGTATTTTTATGGGTAAATTACATCATTCATCATTCAACTACATTTTCACTCCTATTTTGGTATTAAAGTTTAAAAAAATCAATTTAATTACTCAACTTTCAAATTATTCCAATTTTAATCACTCTAATTTATTTTTATTAATAATTTTTGTGATATGAATTTTTTTATTTTATCAATATATAATTAAAAATTTTAAATTTAAAAGTTAGAGTGATTAAATTAGGAATAATTTGAAATTTAAGTAATTAAATTACAAATATATAAAGTTTAGTGATTAAAATAGAAGTAAGAAAATAGTTGAGTGATGAATAATATAATTTAACCATAAAAATGGTGCCACGTGCACATTATTCATTAAGTTTTTATTGGGAGGTCTAAACACTAGATATGATTTTGAAAAAAAAAATTAAAAAATTAGATATTAAAATAAACTAAAATTGATAGTTTAAGTACAAAATACGTATTTACCTTTTTTTGTTTTTGATAATTTAATTCATTTTTTAATTATATAAATATACAATTGTTTCTGATTATTATGGTTTTAAAAGTATGGTTTATATATATTGTTGAATTCTTAAAGACGACATTCTTTTATTATTTTACTCCTCTATCTCACCTTTACACAATAAATTTTGGTTTTTTATTTTTTTATAACCATTTGTAATCGATCTATTAATTAATTAATTAATTAATTCGGATTGGATACTACAGAGATAAAGACAACCCTTTTAACCTAATTTGCTCCGTTTCACCATCTTCATTATTCAAATCCATGATCTTGCTTAAGGGATATAATGTTTCATCTCACTGGACCAAATGATTGTTGGTATTTTAGTTCTTTATTATACATATTTTTTCTTATTTAAATATACAAATTTAAAATTTTATTTGTTAATATTAAAGGATGAAATTAGTGACTGTCAAACAATAATAAATATTAATAAAATACATTATTTTAAAAATAAAAATAATAAAATTAAGGCAAAAAAGGATATTATACTTTTGGGGAAAAAATTAATGTAATCCTCTATATTATTTTTTTAATGTGGTTCTCTAATTCAAAAAATAAATTTAATATGATTTTCTGATAAATATTTTTCATCTTCTGACCTTTACAATGACGAGGTAGTACCGTAACAATTAACGACGAAAAATATTGATTAAATGATCACATTAAACTTATTTTATAATTAAAAGAAACACATTATTTTTTTAAGTACAGAAATCTACATTTTGGCCTAATACAATAATATATTAATTAATTAAACGTGTTACCATTTTTGTGGTATATATAAATACAGATTCGATTCTTTCCAAAAGAGTCCTAAGCAAAGACCAAAAATCACACCGTCGTTTACTTCTATTTTCCACCCATTTTCTCGCCGACAATTCTTCATTCTTCTTCGCATAAAACTCGTACGATTTCTCAATTCCATGAGCTGAAGCTTAAAAAGAGAACATTTTCAACACCAAATCATTCGAAAAACGAAGAAATTGAGAATGTACACGTTGAAAGATAAAGTAGCCGATGGTCTTTCGAGCTTATTTTCAGATTCACCGAATCATTCTTCTCCATCTGATCCTCCTCAGGTAAGTTCTTTTCCGTTTTTTTTCTTTTGGTATTTGTTGTTAGAAGCTAGATCTGGGTTACTTATAGGAATGTAGCTGATGTATAGATTTAACTTGGGCAGCTGAAAATTGTGTTTTTTCTTTGTTTTATTTATGATCCTTGGAAAATAATTGAGATTTTCTGATTTGGGTTATATATGTATATGTGTGTATATATATACACACACACAAACAAAGAACTTCAGTTTTGATAGCTCAGAATCTGAATTCTTATATAATGAATGAAAGGATTAAAAATGTAACTTTTCTAACTTTAAAGATTTTTTTTGTTTCTAGAACTAAGATAACCCACTTCATAGATTGGAATATATTAATGTTTTTCATTCATATTTCAATTGTGTAAAACTTTTTTCCCTCCGGTTCTAAGCCTTAGCCATGACTAATCCAGACTGCGCGTCACATATGTGGCTTTGGGAGTGAGTCTCCCAGGGATTTTTTTTTTGCATACATAATGACTCGAACTCGAGTAATTTTATATAAAACTTTAAATAGTGGGTTTTAGGTTGGTCAAGTAATTATATATATATATATATATTCAAGTTTTTTTTCTTCTTTGTTTTGATTATTATATTTTATATGTTCATTTTATTGTGTATGTGTTGAAAGAGTCAACAACTTGATTGCCTTTTAAAGTTTTAATATCTTGTTAATTGTATGAGTGAGTTGATGATGTGGAGTTCTTGAATATTTAGGCCAGCTTGTATTCAGATTTCAGAAGGATCGAGATCTTTGTCTTCAATTTTTCTAAAATTACCCCTTCGGCAAGCTTAGGCGGGTCTAAATCGAATGATCATGGAAGTCATCTCAAGACAATTCAGTCGCATCCTGTTGGATGGAAATGTAGGACATACGAGTTGCAAGATGAATCCTTAGATAGCTGTGGAGACCATGAACTTACTAATAAAAATAAAAACATACAAATAGTTCATGAAGTTTCGAAGAAAATCTCGAAAGATAAAGACAAGCAAACTATTAGTCCTTGGGGCGAGGATAAGGACCGTACATCCAAAAGGAATAGCAATGATTCCGAAGAATTTCAAGATGCACAAGTTCAACGGAGTCCAGTAAAGCCTCCACTGAACCTTTCTGATGAATCAGTGTTTATTACCCCTGATTTGTACGAAGTTTTGTTGTCTTCCCTTCCCAATATTGTTAAAGGTTGTCGATGGATGTTGTTGTATAGGTAAGTCTTTCAATAAGCTTTGAAATTCTTTAGGTGAAAGGTACATTTCTACTTTGGGTTTTGGATCTTGATTTGGTATTAACTCTTTGAAATGAAGGGCAGTACGTTGAAACATGGTATATCACTTCGTACGCTTATTCGAAAGAGTGCGGATCTTCCTGGCCCTTGTTTGCTGGTATGTTGATGGTTATATATATCAATAAATCAACTCTCTTGAAAGGTTGTCTATCTGAACCTTGGAATTATTTTCATGGTGTTGTACAAATTCTAGATTACCGGAGATAGGAAAGGAGCAGTCTTCGGTGGAATGCTAGAATGCCCCTTGAATCCTACACCAAAGAGAAAATACAAGTATGGTAACATGCCTCTGTAACTTATATATATGGTTTTTAGCATGATGACCCGTTTTCTCTTTGTGATTTGCTCCATGTTTTCCATTTTTCTACATATCCTTCTATTTCTTACTTTGTAAACTTTGGTTTGTCCATCCTCTTAGTTTTATGTCTTGTTTTATGACAGGGAACAAACCAGACATTTGTGTTCACTGCCGTATATGGTGAACCTATGCTATTTAGACCAACTGGTATGCAATTTTCTCCGACATACTTTTAAGACCTTTAATGTTGAATGTATTTCTGAGCTATTATAGGCTTTGATCTTGTGTCGCACTCGTACCAATCTAAACAGGTACTAATCGTTATTACTATATATGAATGTATTTCTGTGCTATTATAGGCTTTGATCTTGTGTCATACTCATACCAATCTAAACAGGTGCCGATCGTTATTACTATATATGTTTGAATGACTTGTTAGCACTCGGTGGTGGTGGCAACTTCGCTTTGTGATTGGATGGAGATCTGTAAGTTGCAAATTTGGGGTTCTCTTTTACAATTCTTCCAACTAATACTTTTATTGAAAATGTTGGTCTTTCTTTCATGGTTTGTGATTTTCTTAGCTTGAGTGGAAGTAGTGGACCTTGTGAAACATTCGGGAACTTGTGTTTGGCGCATGACCGGGATTTCGAGCTAAACAATGTTGAGGTAGTCCTTTATTTTCTTTGGTTAGCTGTTCCTCAACGTTGAGCTTAAAATTGCTTACCAACGAGCCCTGAAATGCCCGGCTATAAGTAATCGACATTCGAGAACTCTCAGAATGCTTGTTCCTCTCCATCCAAGGCGATGAAACAGTTGCATGTATACACTAAGGGCCGTTCTATTTGTCGTCTTTTGAGTTCCGTGTGTTACGAGAATTTCAGTCATATCTTGTTTAGCTCAGCCGATTCATGTAATCATACACAGATTTACTTGAAACTTTCTTTGGACTGATTGTGACTCTGTATTTCTTGTGATTTGAACTGTGCAGCTATGGGGTTTCACACATGCATCACCATACTTAAATCGAAAGCAGCTGTGGCAAGTATGATAGAGCTCATTTCAATGGTTAACAAAATGGGGCACTGTTACCTTCAATCCATGCTTTTGCCCTCATTTGTGGGCTTTAAGATTTGATTTGGTTGGTAGTTAGGGTTATATCATATGGGGTTTTAAATAGTTGTATGTCTTTAATCCATTAGTATTTATATCATGTACACAACTCACAAGGCCTTGTAAGCAGTACCATTTGTAAAACATTTTTTTATTTATTTATTTTTAGTACATGAATCTCTCGAGTCAAAGTTGATAAATACTCGACTCAAGTTTAGTGAGATCAAAAATATTTTTCATGGTGGGAATATATATATATATATATGTTAATATAAAAATTTTAAATAGAGTTGGTACAAAATAAAATTTTAAGATAGTCACCGTTCGTAAAATAAATAATTAATCGAAGAGATATATATCAGGTGTCAAAACGATTTTTTCTAAAAAGGTGAAAAAAAAAGTGAGATTTTGAAAAACCACATTAATTTTAAATTTACCTCTTTCAATTGAAAAAAAAATGCGATTTAAAAACCTCTCGTTTCGAAAATTTTGAAATTCTCTTTTCATTAAAAACATATTGTTCAAAGAGTCGCCACCAATATTTGATTAGGGTGTGATTGGGCACCCAAAAATGTGTTATTTTAAATAAAATTTAATTTTAATTAAAACAACAAATTAAGGTCTGCATTACCAAAATCCAAGTTCAGGAGTCGGTTACGTGCAGGGAAGGATTAGCACCCCCACAACGCCCTAAAACGGTACCTAGTCGATTAATTAATGTCTTTATAATGAACTTTGCAAATTCTAATTTAATTTGATTTTTGATCCCATAAAACAACGATGTAAATTTGAAAACATTCAAAAGCACTCAAATAAATTAAATTAAAATTACCAAGTCGTTTTAGAAAGATAAAGAATGTTCGATTATTTACAAATATCGAGACCATATCTTAAAAGTTATAACAACCTTTTCTCGATAAATTTAAATAAACGAACATTTCCTTTTCTTTCGTTCCCAAATTTTAGGTGATGAATCAATTTTTTTATTTCACTTTTGGGATACACTTTTAATTTAAAATGGTCAAAACGACCCTCTAATCAGTTAAGACAGGCCACTCAAGACAATTTTAAATTAAAAGGGTATTACCCTTAGTCCGATTATGTAATATGTCGAGTTATGCAAATGAGGTTACCATGCAATTCATATAAAAAGTATGTCATGCCAAAAATTAATTAAACAAAATTAAAAATATCATACAATGTGACATACAAAAAAAAATTACATACATATATTTTAATTAAAATTAAAAAAATCATAAACCATGCATATTAACATATAATGTACAAGTGTGACTCAAATATAAAAATAAAAACATGTTATGTCAAACTATACATTTTAAAAACGTATATACATATTGAAATAATGGCTAAATTTAAATACACACAAAATTAAACATGCAAATCATAAATTAAATCAAGGACTTAAATAAAACAACACGCATAAGCAAGGTATCTACACCTAAACAACCCAAATTAAGTGGTCTCTATGTAATTTTCCTAAAATACTAATCCTAAATATTTAAGGACTAAAAGTAACATAAAGAAATAGAGTTCAAATGTATAAGTAAACGGAAAAAATATACTATTCAGGACTAAATTCAAGTGTTCATGAAATAAGAAGACACAATTAAAACATAAAAGATTCGAATTTAGGACCAGAATGCATGGCCTTGAAAGTTGAATGGCTCACGCTGTGGATAACCCACACGCGAAATGGGTACTCTAAACAACTAAACGACGTCGCTTTATCCATGTTAATTAAAACCTAAGATTTAATCCTAAAAACTAAGCCTTCTTTCTGTTTGACTCAACCCCCAGCGCCGTTTCACCTCTAACTCTCAGACCCCTCTCTCACCCTCTTCTCCAATCGAAAGCTTTGAAGCTCTCTCACTCTCTTCCCCTCGCCAGTCATGCAGCGCCACCGAGAGATCTCAAAAGCCCCCACGACCTCAACCAGCCACCACACGAACCACCTATCTACTGGCCATCTCACATCCCGAACGACGACCGAGGGCAACACACGAAGGACCTAAACGACGACAACGCGAAACCCGAAGGAGCCATGGCCGCCATACGTCAACACCATCTCTGCTCCAACCGCCAAAAACTGACACCTGAGACATCCCAAAGCTAAACCCTGATCGAAACTAAGCATCTCTCCTCATCCTTCTCATGGCCCTCAACCAAAACGAACGACCACCACCACCTATAGGCTCCGATGAGGGCCTAAATCCGTGTAAGATTTACCTAAATAACCCACAGGACACCATCTAGTCCTATATCCCAACCTAGTCCTGAAGATACAACCTTTGACACCTAACAAAACCCACGACGGAACATTGAAAGTATTACCTTTATGTGGTTGAATGCTTCCTTGAAGACAGACGAAACCGACGACAAATCTCGCGCGGCGGAGGCTTCGAACTCAAGTAGAAACAATTGAATTCTTCCCTCTTCAATTGAGATGTCGAATGACTGAGGATGATTTTTTTACTGTTGTTTCTGTTTAATTGTTTAGTTTACTCTATTTTATTGATCGGTGAGGTTTGTATTGAGAAGGAATTTTTAATGGGGTTATTCTTCAAATGCCTTTTGTTTCTTTCCCTCCTCCCAAGGAAAAATACCCTCCGTCCTCTTTACCATTCTCCCCCGTGATGGTGATAACCCTCTCCCCTTTAGTTTCCAGCGGTTACCCCCTTTAAACTGATCGTTTTCAGTTTTTTTTAAAAAAAAATTCCCCAGTCGTGCTCCTCTTTGTTAACTGCCTTCTAATCATTTTTGTTTTCCAGACTTCACATGGGTCGGTTTGCTTTGCTGAGGAATATTGGACTTGAATCAGGCCTTCAATGGATTTGGGGTCGGGTTTAGCGACCTAGCCCCGGACAAAACCGAGCATCTACAGCTGCCCCTCTTTGCTCATTGTCGTGCAACGAGAATAGAGCAAAGATCAATAGATGATCAAGTTTGTCCGACCACTAGAACTTCAAAAGATTAATCCGCTTCTCTGCTACTTCAGGATAAGTGAGACTTGAAAATATTCAAATAACGAGTATGCTCCATATTCTTTTAAGGAGTATAAGACTCGAACAATCTTTGGCAAGCGTGTCTGCTCCCTATTCATTCAGGGAGTATAAGACTCAAACAATCTTCAATAAAACGGGTCCGCTCTCTATTCCTTCAGAGAGTATAGAACTCGGAAAATCTTCAATAAACGAGTCCGCTCCCTATTCGTTCAGGGAGTATAGAACTCGAACAATCTTCATAAAACGTGTCCGCTCTCTAATCCTTCAGAGAGTATAGAACTCGAACAATCTTCAACGAACTTGTCCGCTCCCTATTCCTTCAGAGAGTATAGGACTCAATCTTCAACGAACTTGTCCGCTCCCTATTCCTTCAGAGAGTATAGGACTCAATCTTCAACGAACTTGTCCGCTCCCTATTCCTTCAGAGAGTATAGGACTCAATCTTCAACAAACGAGTTTGCTTCACGACTCTTTCGTGAAGGCTTATAGATTTAATTGCTTCACTGCTCTTTCGTGAAGGCTTAAAATTTACTTATTTTGAAGGTCAAACCTGAAAATCAAACATTATCAATCATGAACATATGCTTGCAAATATTATATTCAAAAATTTAGAATTTGAGAAAATTTCTAAAAATTCATCTCTATCATGAAAACTTGTCTGAAAGCCATTGGATATTTGATTCTGCTTTGGCTCAGTTTTCGTATAAACATCATCCTTTTCAAAATCTCCAAACCAAATATCTTCATCTCGATGCTTCAATATCTTCAATCTTCAACTATCATTGGGAAACCTGCAAATGCTTAAGCCATCATGCAATTATGAGTGCCATGATCCTATTCATGCCTAAATGTATGCAAATATGCAATTTGATGCACTTTCTTCTTCGAAGGAACTCTATCTCCTTTGATCTCGATGGAACTCGGCTTCATCTTGGGCACAGAACGTTTGACCAGTTCACCCCAGTTGACAATCTCAATTCCATATCTCTCGCCTTAACATGACCTTGGCTCCTTTCTTTCTTGAAACCCGCCAGTATCCATGACCAACTTCTCGACAAACAACAATCTCTTAGGGTCATCTTTTAATGGCTGAAATTTTATACGAACTTCAAGATTTCATTTTCCCGTAACCACACAAGCTTACATGTTAAAACCATCATCAGCTTCAGAATACCTGCATTTTCCAAAACCTTTTGCACAATAATACAAAATGATCTCATGTACTTCAAGTTAAGCTATATGTTTTAACCTTTCAAAATAAGATGTTTACAAGAGGGAAACGAACAAGGAAAGACATCTCTTTATTTATATAAATGTCGAGAATTTTCAGGTAACTACATGGCAAACTTTTAACTGGAAACAATAAAAGAACAAAAGAGTAGGCGTCTTCAAATATCAATAATGCAAATGCTTTTGAACTGGCATGCCGTGAGAATGTCTCGAGTGTAGCTTCTGTCAAAAAGATCTCCAAAATTGTGATGCTTAAGAGTATGAAGCTGCTTCTAAACTCCCAAATCTCTATCATTGGATGCCCTAAACCAGTATTGAATCTCATGTGCATTCAATTTCTCTTGGTTATTTCAATCGAGACCAACTGTCATTGTTACTATCCATATCAGGAGCTCTTTCCACTTCCAAAGTTGATTCAGAACCTCCACCATACGCGAATTCTGAATTTCAAATTCAACTCAAGTCGCCCTTTGCGGGTTTTCAACTTGAGACCTCCTTTGGTTCCAAGACGCCCTTTTCGGGTTTTCATCTTGAACTCTCCTTTTATTTCTCTTTTTTTCATTTTTCTCTTTTTTCATTTTCCATTTTTTCTTCTTTTTTTTTCTTTTCATTTTTTCCATCATTTTCCTTTTTTCTCATTTTTTTCTTCTTTTTCTTCTTCTCATTTTCATTTTTTTTCTTTTTTCTCTTTTATTTCTTCTTCAAGCGAAATATCTCTTAACAGCGTCGGAATTCACTGGATATGGTAATTCTGATCTGTCCATTTCAGTTAGGGCTAGAGCTCCTCCAGAAAAGGCTTTCTTGACAACATAAGGTCCTTCCCAATTGGGCATCCATTTTCCTCGGAAATCTTTCTGAACAGGTAAAATCC